AAAACAAGAGTGGATTTTAGCAGCAGTGCAAGAATACAAGCACAGAGGGGCTGAGCCGAGTTTCCCTTCCTGAAGGGAAGGTCCAGGAATCTCCAGAGAAAGAATAGGGCAGGAGAAGGAGGAAGGGAAAGATAACAAGAGAAAGTTATTTATACCTTCAGTTTTCCTTTCAGCAAATGAAATCCTATGACAAAAGGATGAAGCACATCATCTGTGGAAGACAAAAAACCAGAAGAAAGTTACATTTTAACAGAAAAACATATACATGTGCTACATACCAAATAAATAACAAAAAAATACATCAGTGATAAATTATCATCCTTCTACTTTCAGAGTTTTCAGGGTCTTCTAGCCTCTCATTTTATGCAGCATTTCAGTGTAAGGAGACACAGAATGCAGGACAACCAAATGTTACCCGGCTCAAAAGCATTTCATTCTTCCAGAACATCAGAAAAAATCTTTTGCAGCTAAAAACTCACTGAAGTAAAAATTAAATAGGAGTTGAATAGTCCCTTCTCACACATCAGTTCCTCACTCAGACAAACACCTTGCTGACTCACAAAAGTTGACAAATCTTGGAGACAAAACAAACAAACAGTAACAAGCAGCCAAGCCTCTGAAGGCTCTCTGTAGCTTGCATAAAAGCACCAACTGCAAGAGGAAGAATTCCCAGGGAAGCTGAAGAAATCTTGATGGGATCATCCCCCACAAAGCTTTCTCTTCTCCAGATCAAGAAGTCTCAGCTTCCTCATGTCTTTCTAAAAAATGCAATAAAAAAATCAAGAACAGATCTTATATTGCCAGCTCACTTCTGGTTAGAGGGATCCTCTCTTCTAGACAGAGCATATGAGGAAAAAATAAAATTAAAAAATAAAAAGAAGCAGCAATGATTTTACCAAACCAGCCAACTCTCAAAGATTAACAAGAAACCAGATTAATGCTTTGGGACCTCCACTTTGAGCCATTTTCAGTGATTTTAAAAGTAAAATCTACTGACAGTCTGACCTGTGAATTTATCCTGCTTACACCTAGCACACCTGCCTCCAACAAATATTAAGGAATGTGATACATAAGATACTGTAAATATACCTTCCATCATGGAAGATGATAAGCAGGGAGACTGAGGAGAAGGAAGGAATTCTGGTTTTCTCACACCAGAGGAAAAGGTGAGATCTTTAGTTAAAACCAAATACAAGACATGACAATGACTTACCAAGATGGATGTTACATGAAAAAAATGAGAGAAAACTGATGGGGAAATTTCATTTACAGAACGAATACCCAAAGCATTTTTACAGTAAAATCAGCAAGAAGAAAAAGAAATCTCATGCATAAATCAAGAAGAGATAGCACAGCATAAAACAAGTGTGATGGGTTGAAGAAGCAGGTGCAGTATTTCTATCTGCCACCACAGCAATAGTTGTAAGGCAGGAAAAATTACTTATTTTTCTTGACAGATAAAGAGACATATGACAAAAAAAATCAGTAAGAACATCTGCTAACAGAACTGGTAAACATGAGGGCTTAAGGAATAAGAGCTGCCAAAAAGCCCAGCTTTACTGCAGACGTGCGGTTCAATTAGACCTGACTGGAATTGTTCATGTAAGACAATGGCAGAGCAGAGGGAGAAGAAAGCCCCTGTGTCCTGGAGGAAGTTCCCTGCCTGCAGGATTTCCACCTGAGGTGCTCTGAGGAGCAGGAGCAAGGCCAGCAAGGGCCTGTGAGGGGAATGCTGAAAGCACACAAGTTCATCACTCATCACACTTCAAGATGAAACCATTGCTTTGGAAAGATTCTGAGATTCTGCCCCAAACCTACTGCTAAATGCACAAAGAGCCAGCACAAAAGCTTGAGGTTTGGGTTTCAGTGCTGTCAAGCACTTCTGAAGTATGGATGGATGGTTTTAGAAAACACACCTTGTATTTGAGATATGGTAATCACAAATGTCAGACATTTCAGCAGTCACACATCTCTGTGTGATACCTGTGCCACTGAACCCCCTGTCTCACTGTCAGACCATTCTTGCTGTTTGCTCCAGTTTCCACTACAAATATTTGGATAGATACAGCATTTCGTCACTGGAAGTGCTGTTAATTTACTCCCAGAAAAGATATTCATTTCCTATAGTGTGCAGGAATACAAAATAAAATTTAGTCAACATCAGCCTGGCCTTTTAGAAATAAGGACAAAACCTTGTACTCCACTGATTCCTGGGCTACACTGTTAATCCCCGTGTTTAAAACTCACACTGCCTATTTAAAGTCTCCACATGAGAAACTGAGAAAGACAAAATAATCAACATTACAAATGAACCCAAAATTTAAAAAAAGAAACTCTGCCAGACATAAAATACGCAAACAAAAGTGAAAGAATCTCTTGTAGTCACAGCTACAAGAGATAGCTGACAGAGTAAAAAAATATTTTTCAGTGTAAGACAGTCTCAGTGTCAATCTGCCCAATTTTATTGAACATTTTCTGCAGCACATACAGCACTTTGTAACAGAAAATGATCCCAGGTACTGTCCTGTAATTCAACATCAGAAGGGCAGATCTTACTGGAATAGGTAAAAATAGCAGCAGGGAGCATGCCAAAGGACAGTCTTTCCACTACAGGGGCAGTGCTTACATTGCAACATCAGCTGGCTCTCTTTTTATAACCTCACCATTGCCAGTGAGCGAGTTACACAGGCAACTTAAAAGGTTGGAGAAATCCAAGAGCAAGCTCTGCCCCGTTTCTGAGATGAAATCAATCCCCTGCACCACTGTGAGCCCAAGGCTCTGCTGCAGCACTGCTCTTGCCTGTGTCCGCTTTCTACCTGCTCCAAAGCTTCAGCACACAGGGATGATGTCATTCAGAATTTAGTGTATTTCTTGTCAAATGTCAGAATAAAATTAGAGCCTTGCACACTTTGTTGCTCCTTTTGGCTGCAGCACACTGGAAGTTCCTTAACTTACTCCATTCTCTGCCAGGCACATGACCCATCCCCTAAAGAGCTCCTTTTATCCCATTTCTGCAGGCCAAGCAGCCTCAACAGCCCCTCCCCAGCACTGAACTCCAAACGGGCTTTTGCCATGTTTCCACATAAAGATAACACCACCCCAAACTTGTGAGCCCCGTGATCAGAGGCAGAAATGCTGCTTTACCAGAAGAGACTCTGCTCCATAGCCAGCAGCTTGACTTGCAGGTGACCAAAAGTGCTTAGCTTTCTAATTAGGCACCAGGGAAAGCTGCACCCTCCCATCCCAGCACCACAAACAGGTTCCTGCCTGCTCACCCTCCACATCGGCATTGATTGCACACAGCTTCCCAAAGGGATCGCAGGCAGAGGGAGAAGAAAGCCTGGGAAAAACAGGGAGTCGCTGAGCTGGCACAGGTGCTCTCACACACTTTTCTGCCTCAATCAAATTCAAACTGACTGATCATCAACATATTTACCTCTCCTTAAACCTGCAAGCCCCGGAATAATCAGAGATGTTTGTTATTTGCACACAGTAGCACCAGTACTGTATATGTTTGTTTTAAAAACTAAGCATCACCCTCGTGAAAAATCAAGAGTAAAGAAAGTTTAGACACTTCTGCTGTACTTTTAATGTGTGAATTTTATAATGCAAGTTTCACAAAAAAAAAAAAAAAACCAAACCCAAACACATCAAATTAAAACACAAATACAGAAGAACTGAAAAAAATATTTTAATGGGGTTATGCAATAGACCTGAAGGAATTCAATTGCTATCAGAAATCATCAAAATAAGGAAAATATTAACCCAACAGTATTCTTGGAATTAACAATTACAAGGTAAATTCTGAACTTCGGGAATTGAAAAAAAAAGGTCTTCTGGCCTGTGAAGGTGGGGTCACATCCTGTGCCATAAATATGAGTAACTTTCAGAGAAACTTTGGAACAAAGTTTCTAAAGTAAAGTTTAAATAACCCCAAGTTCCCATGTATCAAAATACACCTTTCCAAGTGAAAGCTGCAGAGGCAATTACAGGCACTCTTACCTGCACATTAAGTGAAATTAAAATCCACTTTACTTTCTCCTTTACAAGAAACTTGTAAGAGCGTACTTTCCATGGTAATGATTTGGAAACAATACACATACCATTTTTTGGGTAGCAATAAATTAGGAATTAAAAAAAAAATTAAAGTATGATTAACCAGTATTTTTAATTCCCAGCAACACTTCAAGTCTAATGACCCTCCTAGAACTGCTCTGCTTTGCAGGATTCTCCCTCTGTGCTCCCACATTTCTGCAACAATTCCATGCAAACAAAAGGGAGTTCACGCATCTTCACCTGCCCCATCACGCTCCTTCAGTTTCACCAAAAACTCTTATGTAAAATCTCACGTTTCTTACACAGAAAGAAAATCTGAATAAAGAAAAAAGAATGATAATTTGGTCATCTCTGCCACAGGTAGCAAGTGAGTAAAGAGAAGAGTGCCTTTTGTGGTGTGCTAATAGACTGAAAAAACACTATAAAATACTGAAAGTATGACCAGACTTTGAGCAAACACTTAAATGGCTGAGAACAAGAAAGAGGAATATGCAAAAGCCAGCACAAATTACTGGTAGAGCTAACAGGGACATACACTGGAAGCAGACTAAAAGATATTACAGAAAAAGGAAAATTGGTCATATGTTAAAATATTTCAATATAACACCTTAAATGTTTTCCCCTACAAAAGCATTAGAGACATTAGAGAGAGATGCACTATCCTGCATCTCTCTCGGTAATCTGTCAACACAGTGTTCCAAAAATCCCCACTTTCAGAACTACAGCTTGTTCTATGGTGAAACAATTGATGTAAGAGAAAACTCTAATGGGGGCTCAGAGCCATTTCTCGGCGCCTGAACCTCGGAGCCAGCTTTAATTAATCCATTAACCCCACACCACACCCAGGCGCGAGTCAGGGACGCGACATCCCTCCCTTAGCGGACTAAAAATACCGCGGTGGCCGCAGCTCCGGGCGCTGGGCTCCGTCCATCGGAATGCGCGGAATGAGCGCTGCCGCTCGCTGCGGGGGCAAACCCGGCCCGGGGACCGGCACCGAGCCCGGCCCGGCGGGAGGCAGCGAGGGACACGAGCGGGGACATCTCCCTCTGCACGTCCCAGAGACAAACACGGCACTCGGACCCGCAAGGCGATTCTCCAGCCCGTGTGCCTCAAGCGGCCAGCAGGGCGGGCAGGGCGGGCACACCCGCAACAACCCCGCCGCGGCCACCCTGCCCTGCCACGCAAACCGCAGCGCTGCCCTTCAAACCTCCTCACAGCCTGACAATAGGATACTTATGTAAACAAGCTATATATTAATGATCACTTCTAATTCCCAGCTCTGAAAACGCTTTTCTCATTTACAAATGACTCCAGACCACGACTTTGTTTATCCTCGTCTGCTGTGTGCGCTGCAGCATTTCAGTACACAAATGACCATATTCTATTAAACCATAAAAGGTCAGTACACACTGCTGCAATAAAATCAACTTTGTGTAAAACAGATGACATTTATAGTACAAACACAATATTCAAGTCACTAAAGGAATAAACGTGCGCAGCTGCTTTTCAAAGCAAAAGCGTTGTTTACAAAAAAACAGCGAGTGTAGCAAGAGCCAGCAGAGCTTGGAGAATTCTTCACAGAGCTGGGGCCAAAAGAGACTTTCTTTTCAGAAACAATAAGAACATCACTAAACATGGGTTACCCATACAGAATAAATTGTATCTACTCCATGCTGTCTCAAAAGTCATGAGCTAATGCATGCTCATTGCTAAAATACCTAGTTAATTTGTCATAAATTTAGACTTTTTAGCCAAGCCCCTACTGTTACAGCAACTCCTCTTTCAATTAATTTGTAAAGCTGAGCAAATGTTTCCACAACCTTACTCAATACACAGTGGATATATTTAATACTTGAAAATACCAATTAGACAAAGTCAATCAAAATCGGTACAGTGACGATGTAAACATGTCTGTTTACAAATTAAACTTATGTGAAACTTAGTGAAATCATGCTTCAATCACACTACTTGGTAAGTTTTCATATTGATTTTTTGCAAGTTTTCATCTTGTTTTGATGACTTTTGTTGTTTCCCCAAATAAAGATCACTTTAACTTATGCAATTTGATGGTTTTATCATAAATAGAACTCTAAATACTATTTTTCATTACAAACTCTTTAGCTTTCTGTGTTTCTAATATAGAAGATGGTCCAGGAACTTACTTCTTATAACCATCCTGAACGGTCATCCTGTTCAACCACTCATTTGCACTCAGTTGTTTCCTGAACTGCCATGAAAGTTTTGGAAATGCAGCTGCACAAATGCCATTATCCTCATTCCCTGGGCAATGGTGGTGGCCTCTCCTCTAACAATGAGAAATACCCAAGAATTGCTGAAGTTAGGCAGAGGCACAAAGAACGGGACATTCCCAGAGGATACAGAACTAGGAAGCCAAGGCGTGGGGAATCCCTTGCTCTCCGTCAGGGGTACCAGGGCAGGAGCACATCCCCAGGGTGAGCCCAAGCCCACGGAAATCCCTCCCGGCCAGGGAGGCAGGGCAGAGCCGTGACACACGGGAAGGGGAGGAGCAGAACCCCGCGGGTGTCGGAGCGGTGCTGGAGGTGTGACAAAGGTGTGGCAAAGGGAACGACTCTGGCAGCACAGGAAAGGACAGGCTGAGTGCAGAGAGACCCAAATACCAACCTGCACTGAACTGCCCGAGTTCGTGTGCTCTGTGAACTGAATTAGCAAAATAAAAACAGTTTAAACATCCTGTATCCACAGCAGCAATTCAACTCCTGCACTGAATCCTGACTGAAGATTGGTTTTGGTTCCCATCTCCTGCAGGAGCCTGGAAACCAACAGCTCTGAATTTAATGTTTTCCAACAAGGAAAACGTGGTTTTCTTCTCAACTCCTGGTTTTCCAAAGCACAAAGAGCCACATAAATAATCTGGAGGGAGGAGGGGAGGAGATGTCCCAGAAGAAATTACTGCTGATGTAGCGTACCAAGAAGTGCTGACCAATGATTTCAGTGGGTCATGTTTGTGGTTCAGAAAATGAGTTATTTTAATGAGATATAGTAAGTTCAGGCCCTGAGACAGCAGTGACTTCATACATAATTTGAACAGAATGCACGGTTGGCTAAGAATAAAAAATGGAAAAGGAATTAAACTGAAAAAAATAAGGTTTAGATCTTCTTTGGGAAAAAAATAGGCTTTTTTTCCTGCCACTTCCAGCTTTTCCTTCAAAAAAGCAGGTTAATCAGCAATGTTGCACAATAAGTTGTCCAATCCTGAAAATATTAAGAATAGCAACAAACGGTATGAAAAATATATTCCAGGACTCTGAAAACAACACTGCCCCAACCCAACGATGCTACTTCACTTCTGATTTAATCATCTAAGATTAAATGCTTACTACATTAATCAGTCACCATATTCATTTCATGAGCACACACAGAGATCCCTACATCTTTCATGATTAGTTGCAGCCTCAGGGCTTGCCTGCAGAAAATTCTCATTAAGACAAACCAAACTAAAGCCACTTCCATTCTGAGTGGGTGTCCCCAGAAGAGATTTAAGAGAATTGCCTGGAATTAACTCTCACATTCATCAACTCAATCTCTCGTTCTGCACCAACACTGCAGACACATCCTGAAGAATCAGCAAGCCCATTCCAGTTTGGCACAATGCAGCAATCCTTCAGGCAAAAGCTGCAGCTGAGTTTTTCTGAAGCATTGAAATAAAAAACATCTTCAGATGTATGGCTTCAGTTTTGGAAAGATTCTGAGTTTTACACCACTGTAGATCCTCCTGATTCTGCACACCCACAACCTGCAGCTGCAGCACAGTTTCCCACCACAACTGGTTCTGCAATCTCACCGGCCCAGCTGAAGCCCCTGCATTTATGGATGTCACTCCAAGGCCAGGAAGGAAAACAATTCTGCACAAGTCATGTGGCCTGTCGCAGGCGAGGTGAACAACAGACAGCAGCAGGACCAGCAGGTTACTGCTGAGTGCACTCAGGCTGGAGATAGAGAGGCAGAAAGAGGACAGGGCTGGAGCCTGGGCTCTGCAGGAGCAGCACTGCTACACGGCAGGGCTCAACAGCTGACAAGGACTCAGGACACAGAATAATCCTACTCCTGTCTGCCAATGTCTAATGGATTTTAAGTTGCAAAAAATAACCAAGCGAGCAATTCAGACCAAAGAATGCCCGAGCAGAAAAAATTCCGTTGTGCTGATACACCTAAAGGCGTTTTCTCCTCCCAGTCCAGCAGACTGGGGATGACAGTAACAGGAGGGTCAGGCAGCCCTGCTGGAAGCACAGGAGGGACAAAGCTGCAGCATCACAGCGGGGACCCGAGGAGAGCGGGGCTGTGGGCAGGGCATGGCCCCAGCGGTGCGGGATGCTCATCCATCCCACTGCTCATTCCCCCTACACAGGGCACAGCTCCAGCGCTGCTGGATGCTCATCCCACTGCTCATTCCCCCTGCACAGGGCACGGCTCCAGCGGTGCGGGATGTTCATCCCACTGCTCATTCCCCCTGCACAGGGCACGGCCCCAGCGGTGCGGGATGCTCATCCCACTGCTCATTCCCCCTGCACAGGGCACGGCTCCAGCTGTGCGGGATGCTCATCCCACTGCTCATTCCCCCTGCACAGGGCACGGCTCCAGCTGTGCGGGATGCCCGCTGCTCACCCTCCCTGCTCCAGCTGTGCGGGATGTTCATCCCACTGCTTGCCCTCCCTGCCCAGGGCACGGCTCACCCAGCTGTGCGGGCTGCCATCCATCCCCCTGCCCAGGGCACGGCTCCCCAGCTGTGCGGGCTGCCATCCATCCCCCTGCCCAGGGCAGGGCTCACCGAGCTGTGCGGGCTGCCATCCATCCCCCTGCCCAGGGCAGGGCTCACCGAGCTGTGCGGGCTGCCATCCATCCCCCTGCCCATTCCCCCTGCCCAGGGCAGGGCCCACCCGCGCTGGCGCTGACAGGCGGCGGCCACAACCCAGCCCCGCTCCCCCCCGACTTTCGCCCCGCCCCGGCCCTCTCCACAGCGATCCCCCGGCCCGGGCAATCCCCACACGGAGCCCCGCGGGCCGAAGCCGCCCGCTTCTCCCGCTTCTCCTGCTTCTCCCGCTTCTCCTCCCCCCGTGTCCGCCGGGGCCGAGCGGCCGGGTCAGCGCGCCCGGGGCCGAGCCCGGAGCGGCGCCAGCGCGGAACGGAGCGCTGCAAGGAGAGGAAATACAGGGAACGGTTCTCCCGCCCGGCCCCGGCGCTCCCCGGCCGCCCGTACCTGTGTCCCGGGCCCCCGGCGGGTCCCCCGCGCCCCGGTCCCGCCCGGCGCCGCTCGCTCCGCGCCTCACAGAAAATGGCGGCCCCGCGCCCAGGCAGACATTTATCCCCGCCCATCGCGCGCTCGGCGCTCCACGCCGTGCCTGCGCCCGCCTGCCCGCCGCTCCCGCCTCCCCGCCTGGCGCGGGAGCGCCGAGCTGCCGATCGGCCGCCCCGCCCCGCCGCCATTTGGGGGCGGCTGAGGCGCTGCTCGGGGAGGGAGCGGGGAGGGAAGGAGAGATCCAAGGAGAGATCCAAGGAGGGATCCAAGGAGGGATCCAAGAAGGGATCCCGACGCCGCCGCGCCTCCAGCCCTGCCCGCCACCCGGCCTGGGAGAGCGGCATGAGCGGGGGCTGGAGCGGGCGCCCCTCAGGGCACCGCGGCGCCGCCTCACAGGCACCGCCGCCCTCAGCGCCCGGAGCCGCCCCGCTGCAGCCCTGCCCCGGCCGGGCCCTCGGGAGGCTGACAGGTCATTAGTGAATGGAGCAGCCCCGCGGGGTGCACAGCAGGGCCCGGAGCACTGTCCGGAGCCCGGAGCCCGGAGCAGAGCCCTGAGCACGGAGCACAGCCCGGAGCACAGCCCGGAGCGCAGCCCGGAGCCGAGCCCGGAGAACATCCCGGAGCACAGCCCGGAGCCCGGAGCCGAGCCCGGAGCACAGCCCGTAGCACAGCCCGGAGCCCGGAGCCGAGCCCGGAGCACAGCCCGTAGCCCGGAGCCGAGCCCGGAGCGCAGCCCGGAGAACATCCCGGAGCGCAGCCCGGAGCACAGCCCGGAGCGCAGCCCGGAGAACATCCCGGAGCGCAGCCCGGAGCACAGCCCGGAGCGCAGCCCGGAGAACATCCCGGAGCGCAGCCCGGAGAACATCCCGGAGCACAGCCCGGAGCGCAGCCCGGAGCACAGCCCGGAGCGCAGCCCGGAGAACATCCCGGAGCGCAGCCCGGAGAACATCCCGGAGCGCAGCCCGGAGAACATCCCGGAGCACAGCCCGGAGAACATCCCGGAGCGCAGCCCGGAGCACAGCCCGGAGAACATCCCGGAGCACAGCCCGGAGCACAGCCCGGAGCGCAGCCCGGAGAACATCCCGGAGCACAGCCCGGAGCGCAGCCCGGAGCAGAACCCGGAGCCCGGCGCCGCTGTGCCTGGGCAGAGCCAGCCCTGTCCTACCTGTGCGTGGCCAAGGCCGGCTCTGCAGGGAGCAGCAGCGGTTGCCCAGGGGCGGTACGTGCTCAGGGGTGGGGTGTGAGCTGCTGGGGAAGGTATCTGGGGAGAAATAAAGAAATAAAACCAAATAGCGTGCAGGCTCTTTCCCTGGAGGAGACAGGGACCAGCTGTTGGGCAGCAATCCCTGTGTGACTCCGCACAGCCTCCATGGAAAGGCAGGGACACCGAAGGGCTCTGCTCGCTGCCAGCTCGCTTATTTTAGCTGTGAAAACGTGCAGAATGGCACATCAAAATAGTAAACAAATTACCACCCCAAAATACAGCTTCTCAGGGTAGCGCTTGCAAAGGAAAACATTTCTCCTAGAACTGTTTTTAAAGAACATTACACGCTTGCATTTACAATCATGTAAGTTACATTAATTGTTAATTAAATGTGTTACTCTAAAAAAGAGCCTCTAGCAAAATTCTCAGCCTTATTTTGGATTTCTCTGTGGAAGACAGTTCTGATATAAACCAAAACCTGAGTTCGGCTAAAGTCACGTTAACCTCAGAGAGGCATAGCAAGGACAAGGAAAAAGCAGCACTGTTGGGTTTGCCTCTCCTAAGCAACAAATAGAAAAAAATCCCAAAACACAAGAGAGTTCTCAGATCTCGGTGCCCCCCAGGAGGAGGTGGGGTTGCCAGGTAATAGGGGATTGGAATGGGGATGGCAACCAGGAACTCTGGAGGGCTGAAACAGAGGTTTCCATGACTATAAAATGCTGTGCTTCCCATTTTTTCTGAAAGTTACCACTGATTCCAGCATTATTACACTGGAATCAGTGGTAACTTTCAGAAAAAATGAAATTTAGAGGACATTGCTAAAATAAATACTTAAGCTTTTATAGCACCCTTTTACAAGACAAACCACACTGAGATCACAGCTATTAAGAAAAGACCTTACTCTCTAATTTTCCTCATTTCCATTACCATGGGCTCAGACCTACCAGAAAACCAAATCCAGATCAAGGTGGTATCCACTGAGGGAAAAATTTAAAATCTAAATAATTCTTTTCAAATTCTTACAGAGTAACTTCTCAATGTCACATTTCGACTGAACAAGTCCCATGATGCACAGATCCAGTTTATTTATACAACTTGAACAGGAGTCCATGTATCTGACTGCAAAACTTAGCCCTGGAGAAAAAAAATACAAAAATACGGGAAAAAATACAAAAATATGGGAAAAATACAAAAATACACTCAAAGCAGTGTGTACAATAAATATTCACATGGCTTTAGGCTAAGTATATCCATGTAATATGGGAGAGTAGTACAGATTTTTGCAAAATATGCAAAAGGATCTTCAAATACTATAATATAAAATGTAAACACAATGAGGGGCTTGAAAAGAAGGAAGGAAAGGGGGGAAAGCCACCTCAAGAAGAGGAGGTTTTGCCAAAGACCTTTCATAAAGTTTTAAACTTCTTTTAAGAGACCAGAACAGTGAAGGAGTGTAGTCATGGAGCAAATAAACACAGATCTGGAGGAAAGCAAGCCAGATTTCAGAGTTAAACAATGTAGCACATGCAAAGGAAGACAATAATTGCAAGAAAGAAACTGAAAAGCAAACAGGGAAACTGAAACATTACAGCACTGAAGTAGAAGGGAAGCAAAAACTGAACAAACTTTCCAAAATAAAATGAAAATTATTCAGCCTTCTTCCCGAGGCTGATGTGGTTTGTGTTTGTGATGTTTAAAGTGTGGATGTGCAGGAATTGGACTTTCATTTGCCCAGGCATACAATCAGATTTTGCATTTTGGCCATCCGGAGGGTTCCTAATGTAGGAAAAGCAGCGATTAGAGGAGAATGAAACCCCGGGCTTTGGGCTGTGAGCCCAGTCTGCCTGGGGAGCAATTCCCTTCCACCTCAGCCTCCTCAGCTGCTCCCCATCTTTGAGAAGAGTTTTCACCCTGGCTGCTGGGAAGGAGCATGGAAAAGCGAAACCTTTCCTTATTTGTGGTGATTCCATTTGCTGTGTGCAATATTCCTGTGTCCCCTGTCTTTACCTGGGGGTTCTCCAAAAATATCCCAATGTTTGAAGTGCTACCACGTAACTTTGATTGTATCCTTAATACCCCTAAGCCTCAGAAGAATGAGCAACAAGAATTAGGAGTGGAATGCTGGCTGGGAAAAAGAAGAAATGCACATACACACTTTATTATGGAATTTTGTGTATCAAATCTTCCTCCCTTCCTCCTCAAGCCAAGGAGTGCTGTAGACAAACTTTGCCATTTTATCCAGCCACAGTCCAAGCACTGTCCTTCTGCAAGGTTTGATTATGCTACAAATTATCCTTTTACTCCTCCATAAGTTGTTTTTTTGGGTTTTTTTGTTGTTATTCTTATTTGTTTGTTTGTTTTTAGTAAGAGAACATTGCTTAGGAAAAAGTTTAAGTCAAGTGAGATACAAATGAAGTCCAGCATACAGAGACCATGAAGAAAGTGGCCTTGAACAAATCAAGCATTAGCAACTAAAAGAGAAGCCAAATAAGGCATCTCTTATTTGTACAATGATGCATAAACTATTTATATTTTATCATCCAGCTGAAATGCTTTATTATTTCCCTGTGTCACTAAAGTGTTCAAAGGAGTGGTAATACAATTTTTCGTTTGGGTTTTTCATGCACTGAGAATTTAAATCACATAAATCACCTTACAACAACAGGACACCTTATATATGAAGCTGTTAACAGTGGAATTAACTTGTTTTGCTGAGATGAAAACCATTATTTTTGTTGCTTTGTCCTGAACAAATCATCCATTTTTTACTTTATTCATATCCAGCCAAAGGTGGTTGCTGTTGGGCTGGTTACAGTGCATGCCCTTCTCACCCTGTCCTGCAGCTTTTCAGCCAAATCTTGGGAGCCATCTCTGTCTTCCATATGGAAATATCTTTACTATAATCTATTAGGTGTTCATACTTATACGGTTCTTGGGTGTCTTTCTATAAAATTAACAATAAATATGTTGGATGAAAATATCAATTATGTAGATTTTCAATTCCAGTTTGTGTGGGAGCACTTCAGAGTATAAATTGAAACAGCTTTTCATTAAGCCTTGCAGTAATTAAATTATTCTGAGAGTGCAGCTCTATAAACAGTAAACAACAATCTCTTACTGAAAAAATAAAGTTAGATAGCCCCTCCTCATTGATAATTTTACAGGGCAGATTCTTAGCTCTCTCGGGGAGCTGTGCAGCAGTTTATTTGCTGCAGAGGAGGAGCTGCAGGCAGTTTGTGGCCCTGCAGTCCCTGGCCTGGCTGTGTGCAGGGCGGTGCAATTTGCTTCCAGGAAAATTCAGGGCTCTGCACTGCCCCAGCCACTCCTCTCAGACTCCTCCAGACAGGCTGAGCTCAGTGGCTCCCCTGGGTTTTAGATTCTCATTTGCAGCCCTTCTGCCCAAGATTTAACTTTCCCCTGGTGTGACAAGAAGCTGCTCAGAGCTGTGAAACCCGAGCTGCCAAGTGCAGGTCCTGCTCACAGCCAGTTCTCCCCATCACCCAGCCCATCCCTGAGTCCTCCTCCGCTGTTCCACACCTCGCTGCCCATTTGTTTGCACAGATAACTGAGAAAAAAACAAACAGAAAATATCCCTAAAGGCACGTGGCTTCAAAGTGCTCTCTGTTGTGTCTGACGGGTACAAATTTATTTTATCAGGTGACTAAAACTGGTTTTTCCCCATGGCTGGAAATGGGTTGGAGGAATAGCAGTTAAATTCCAGATAATTGTGGAAAGGACTGGGAGCCTGGGTAAATCTCATTTCAGGACTCAGTTTCAAAGAGCACAAGACAAATGCACCAGGTCAGTGGGGGTAGCACTGGATACTGAGAATATCAAAGCATGAAAATAATTTTAGAATAATGTTTTACAGATTAAATGTGGAGATGTTGAGCCGATGAGTGGCACCTGCACAGGGAATAAAAATTTAATCTGAATAAGCATTATTTGAGCTCCAAAAAGAGGACACACTTTTTAAAAGCTAAAAATCTAGGCTATAATTTGTGTCTATTTGAACAGTCATTCCTACTGCAGAGACAATAAATACAGCACTTTGATTTACATGTGTATTCTATTTTTGAAACCTAACCAAACTGGTTTATTTGGTTTATTTTGACTTTCTGAAAAAGTCTAACCACAACAAAATCTCTTCAGAGCTAGGTACTACAGTTTAAAAATAACAAAGCATAAATAGCTCTTTCCTGACAAACATTTTTAGAAGCCAGCCTGAACATATAATGAAAACTCTTCTTCAGCAGAGCAATTACACCTGATAGAGAGCTACCTAAAGGATTTATCACCTGATAAATGACATTAAGCTGTGCATTGACAATTTCTCATGGCCACTGAACTCCACTCTATACTTAGTTTCTCTCCAAGCAGAAGAATTACAGCTGTTTATTGTAATAACATAGAGGATGACAGCAACATTTTATTTTCCTGCAAGGAATCCTGAGTAAGGAATGAGTAGTGACAGAGTAGGATTGGAGGCTGCTATCAGGCTGTAGCTGAAAAATACACAAACCCTTCCTTTATCTCTTCACAGATCATTTTTGTTCTGTTTCTTCATCAAAAACCCAGGTGGTTTTTTGTAGTTCTGGTGAGAAGCCTGCTCTCACTGTGATGTGTTTGTACAGAAAGCCTCACTCACTCCTGCCCTGCTCCCATCACCCTCGGCTTTCATCAAAGGCAGATTCCAGAGACAAGGAAACCCAGAGCAGGCAGTGAATCCATCCTACTGCTCTGCAGCTCTGCTATTCCCAGATAACACAGCTCATTAACATGTGCCTATAAGGCCATAAATACCTGCATCACTCAAAGGTTCATGCAGGCAGCACAAAGACAAAAGTCCATTTTAGCCTCATGCCTGCATTCTTGCACCAAGAGAAATGCAACTCTCATTAACTGGATTCTGGTACAAAAAGCAATGCAAAATAAGAAAAAAAGCTGTCTGGCTTTCAGCTCCAGCCTATTTATCCATTGTCTTTCAAGTTCATCTCAGACATTGGGATAAACAAAGATATGTGATCAAAGGGCTGCGTT